CGCCGAGAATTGTGAGTCCACTCCCTTTCTATGCCCCTGAATTCTATACATTCACCAAGTTATTCTGTTCATCAGATATTTATTCACTTGATTTTTAGATTCACTTGATAGATATGTATTTGTTGTTCATAATTTTTATCTTTACCTTTTTCTTCTTCTTCCTCTTCTTAAAGGATACCTTTCAGCATTTCATATAATACTGGTTTGGTGCTGATGAACTCCTTTAGCTTTTTCTTATCTGTAGAGCTCTTTATCTGACCTTCAATTCTAAATGATAGCCTTGCTGGGTAAAGTAATCTTGGCTGTAGGTTCTTGCTATTCATCACTTTGTATATTTCTTGTTACTCCCTCTTGGCCTGCATAGTTTCTGTTGAGAAATCAGCTGACAGTTGTATGGGTACTCCCTTGTAGGTAACTAACTGTTTTTCTCTTGCTGCTTTTAAGATTCTCTCTTTGTCTTTTGCCCTTGGCATTTTAATTATGGTGTGTCTTGGTGTGGTCCTCTTTGGATTCCTTTTGTTTGGGGTTCTCTGTGCTTCCTGGACTTGTAAGTCTATTTCTTTGACCAGGTAGGGGAAGTTTTCTGTCATTATTTCTTCAAAAAGGTTTTCAATATCTTGCTCTCTCTCTTCTTCTGGCACCCCTGTAATTCAGATGTTGGTACGCTTGAAGTTGTCCCAGAGGCTCCTTACACTATCTTCATATTTTTGGATTCTTTTTTCTTTTTGTTTTTCCAGTTGGGTGTTTTTTGCTTCTTTTTACTTCAAATCTTTGACTTGATTCTTGCGATCCTCTATTCTTCTGTTGGATCTCTGTATAATATTCTTTATTTCAGTCAGTGCATGCTTAATTTCTAGTTGGTCCTTTTACATATCTTCGAGGGTCTCACTAGATTTATCGAGGGTCTCACTAAATTTATCGGCGGTTTCTAGAAAATTCTTGAAAAACCTTATAACTGTGGTTTTGACCTCTATATCCAGTAGTTTGCTTTCCTCCATTTCTGTCATTTGTGACCTGTTTCTTTGTCTCCGCATTTTGGCTGCTTCCCTGTGTTGATAGAGTGGCTTTCTGTGCTAGGTGTCCTATAGGGCCCAGTGGCTCAGCCTCCCCAGTTACCTGAGGTGGACACTCTTGGTGCACCCCTTTGTGGGCTGTGTGCACAGTCTTGTTGTAGTTAAGCCTTGATTGTTGTTGGTATCACTGGGAGGAATTGACCTTCAGGCCAATTGGATGTGAGAATGAAGCTGTGTCTATGGTGGGAGAACTTCTGTGCTGGAGTCACTCTTCTGGGGCAAGACTTGCTTCAGTGGGGCTTTGGTGCTCACTGAGTCTGCCCCCTGAGTGTGTCCCTTATGGATCTGAGGAGTTGTAATCTGGATGGTCCCACTCTGACCACTGGGTACACTGGCTCTTGGATCTTTAAGGAGGTGCTAATTTAGCCTCTGCCTGAGGCTACCCAGCAGGAGCTATGGAGAGATCTTCAGATTCCTCTTCTTTGTTTGGGGTTTGGAGGTGCCCAGGTGAGGCCCAGCTGTGAAGCAATGCAAGCTGCTGTGGGGCCTTGGGCCTTCTTTTGGATGTTCTGGGTCTCTCTGACCCAGCTGCAGTTGGTTAGGTAATTTTAGATTGCAAAGGGCCAGGCCATTCATATGCAAAAGCCTCTGTGCACAGCTTGGGTGGGGCGGGGTCTCAGGAATCAACAGGGCGGAGCAAACAGCTATGGCTGATCCTCAGCCCTGCCCTAAGAGGCCCTGGGTCTCAGTGTCCTGCAGTACTGCTGCAAGCACCTCTGAGAGAAAGCCGCCTTGAGTTCTGCCGGATGCCAGACAGTTCAGTTTCTCCCTGTATGAGTCTGGGTCCCCAGAGACTCGCCCGGAACTGGAGTTCAGAGCAGTCGGGAGCTCGTGACTCCCTCCTGATTGAAAAAGACAACCGTGTCCTCAGTTGCCAGCCCTTTCCGTGTGTGCCTCCGTACCTCTGCACTTTACTTCTGCACCTCCTCTGAGTCTCTGTGCTTTTCTCTTTCCTTCTAGTTGTAGAATTTCCACTCAGCCAGCCTTCCAGTGGTTCTGGATGATGTTCGTTTTGTCTTTTAGTTGTATTTTTGAAGTGGTTGTGCGGCAGCAATTTCAGGTGTTTACCTATGCCGCCATCTTGGTTTCTTGTATCCAGGGTGGGAATCTTTACAGTAAATAACCCAGGAGGTTACAAAGCACAACTTTATAAGTAGCACGTGGAAAAATTTTATACAATAAAAAGGGAAAAAGCATTCATTGGCACCCAAGTCACTAACCCAACAGGCAGCCTATATTTCCTTAAAACAAAGTGCCAAAAATAAACATCTGGCACACTCTATACTTATAAAATTTACAGGCAAAATTTCCGTTTTTTGTGTGAAACTTTTCTAGGACCCGACTCTTCACAACTAATACAGCATCCCTTGAGCAAAAGCCACTCTAAACCAAGAGATTCCAATGTACTGCTCCTATTAGTTTGGAGCCCATCATTCCATTATAGGGTAATTATTAGAAGATATTGCTATTTAGTTCAGGACTAAGTAGAACATTTTCACATATTTTGATTTCTTCATTAGTTGCCACTATACAATCACATACATAATGTGACATTTAAAATCATGACTTTGGAATTCCCACTTCACTTTTGGAAGGGTTCAAAGTGTTATAGTTAAGAGAGTAAGCTGGCTGGATTAAAATTTCAGATTCATCATATAGCAACTATGTGAGCTTAGGCAAGTTACTTCACCTCTTGAACTTCAGTTACCTAAGATGGAAAAGTGGGATATACCTCCTGGAGTTATTGTAATAAAGATAATACATGAAACAGGTTCACGGCAGTGCCTAAAGAGAGTGACACAATAAATTTTAGCCATTAGTATTAGGTTTACATTAAATCTGGCAAAATGATTATAAACTGGATATTGTTTTTTTAACCTTGCAGATTCAAGGCCTCAAAAATTGGTTCAAAACTCAGAATTGTTCCTCTCTATGAAAATCTTTAGTAAAAGGCAAAAGATTTATGCGATCTAAAGAGAAACCAGAGTATTTGTTACTGTTTTGCAGAATGTTGACTGCCTAAAGTATCTAAATTGTTTAAGAAGATGCTGAGATTGGTGTAGATGATCTCTGAGTTCCTTTTAACTCTGAGATTTTATGAATAACAGCAATGCCAAGTAAGAGTGACTAAGACTAAGAAATAACAATGAAGAATAGAATAATAATGATCCACTAAATGGTATACATACAGGACATGAGTGGGCCTCCCTAAGTCTTAGCTATCTATACAGATAATAGCTTAAGTGACCAAACGACCAAACGATTGGAACAACCAGACTGACCGGTTGCAATGATGCGCACTGACCACCAGGGGGCAGACGCTCAATGCAGGAGTTGCCCCCTGGTGGTCAGTGCACTCCCACAGCGCAGCGCCGCTCAGCTGACTGACCAGTCCCAGCGGCCCACCAGCCCAGCGGCAGCCATTCACTCCCTCAGTAGTCCTGCAGGTCCAATCTCCAGAGAACAGGCCAGGCACCAATGGACCAGCATCGCTGGCATGATCCTGACAGTGTGGCCGGCCTCCTGGAAGTCGGCCTCGGGCACCGCAACCACCTTCCCCTCCCTAGATGCTCAGTAAGGAAGAAACAATATAAAAGTGGTTGCCAGGTGGCTCCTGACAACTGGCGCAAATGTCAGCGGGATGGATCTGGATCCTGGGCTGGCAAGGGCATCCTACCGCCAGCCTGGAGGGCTGATCATGTCCCAGCCCTCCTCACCCCCGTCAGGATCCCACCCATGCATGAATTCGTGCACGGGGCCTCTAGTATAAAATAAGTTATTTAGCTTCCTCAGTCTTGGTTCCTCATTTCTAACAAGAGGTTAATATTACAATCTCATAGATTTTGATTGTGACAGATACTGTTTATTGTTACCATAGTACCTGACATGGAAACAATAAACAGTATCTATCATAATCAACATGAAAATGAGTAAGATATAAGCACTAATTTCTGAAAAATTTGAGTTTTTATGAAATTTATCCCCTCCCTTTCTAGTTATTTCAATAGTTCATTTTATCCCTGAACTTTTAGTAATAGTATATTGGTCTATAGTAGTGTTTTTTGTTACACTCACTCACGTAACATACTAACAAATTATTTTCTAGAGTGGCAATAACATATCTAGACTCAAATGAATGCTCCTACCCTAACTCATTTGGTGGGAAACAAAAGTGGAGATGGAGAAAAGACACTTTACAATTAATTTTTTTCATAAATCACCCACAATACTGAGAGCTGGGCACAACTAATCACAGCTCTCTGCTGAACATGACAATCCATTATTGTGCCCTTTGTTACCCTCAAAGCATACTTTAGACCCAGAAACTAGGGATATTTCACCAAAATATCGGTTTGACAGAGGTAGATATATAAATTGGAAACAGACAACAAATATTTGTGGAATTGGAGGCAGTCAACAAATATTTGTGGAATAAATAACTATAACATACTTTTGTTGTTAATACTCACCTGAGGATATTTTCCCCTTGATTTTTAGAGAGTGGATGGGAGGGAGAGGGAGAGAGAAACATTGATGTGAGAGAAACACATCAATTGGTTGCTTTCCCACATGCCCTCATTGGGGCTGGGGATTGAACCTGCAACCCAGGTACACGCCCTTGACTGAGAATAGAACTCAAGACCCTTCAGTGGACAGGCTGATGCTCTAACCACTGAACATACTGGCCAAGGTAGATATACTTTCTTTTGGTAGACTATCTATATCTATATATATTTTTTGACAGACAACTGTTTAGTTTTTTTTTCATAATCATAAACTTAACTCTGCAATCCAGCCAGACTGGGAAGGGGTAAGGAAATTATGGAACCCAATGAACTGTGGCAAGAGCACAAAGATTATAGAACATTCCAAACAAATCGGGGTGAAGGGGTGCTCTCCTGAGCTACAGAAGGAATGGTCTGATGGTTAAAATAAAACACAAGTCAAATTTATTAGAGTTGTCCACAGTCAGCAATGGTGATCTTCTTGCTGGTCTTGCCATTCCTGGACCCCAAGGGCTCCATGGCTGTCACAATATCCATGCCGTCTTTCACCTGGCCGAAGACCACATGCTTGCCTTCCAACCACTCAGGCTTGGCCGTGCAGATAAAAATTTGGGAACCATTTGTGTTAGGTCCAGCATTTGCCATGGACAAGATGCCAGGACCTGTATGTTTTAGAATGAAGTTCTCATCCTCAAATTTCTTCCTATAGATGGACTTGCCACTTGTGCCATTATGGCATGTGAAGTCACCACCCTGGCACATAAATCCCGGAATAATTCTGTGAAAGCAGGAACCTTTATAACCAAATCCTTTCTCCCCAGTGCTCAGAGCACGGAAGATTTCTGCTGTCTTTGGAACTTTTTCTGCAAACAGCTCGAAGGAGACGCGGCCCAAGGGCTCGCCGTCGACAGCGATGTCGAAGAACACAGTGGGGTTCACCATGGCTGGTCACCGGCGGCTCCGGGGTGGCGGCGTCTGCAAAGCCTACATTATATATTTTTTTACAAGCTGGTCTACCTTAATATAAACATGCTTTACAACTTCAATTTTCCTGTATAGGATTCTTTGGTAGGAATCACCAAAAATGCCACAAACAGTGATTAGATAAGGCATCAGAATACACCTGAAACTTGCTGTAAGTAGCAACACAAAATAGATTGGCTTGGTTAGGCAATGTATAAAGAAAATGAGAGTTGAATGCTTAATAGGTACTATCTTTTTTTTTTTTCCTTTTTAAAGGTGGTTTGCATTTTTTAAAATGTTTTTATTGATTACAGAGAAAGGAAGGGAGAGGGAGAGAGGGATAGAAGCATCAATGATGACAGAGAATCACTGATTGGCTGCCTCCTGGGATCAAGCCTGTAACCTTGGCATGTGTCCTGACTGGAAATCAAACAATGACCTCCTGGTTCATAGATCGACGCTCAGCCACTGAGCCACACTGGCCAGGCCTGTGTTTCCTTTTAAGGTGATGTTTTGGAACTAGACAGAGATAACAGTTGCACAGCATTGTGAATATACTAAATGCCACTGTACACTTTAATATGATTAATTTTACATTTTTACTTTTACCTCATTTTTAGAAAATGTGGGGAGTAGAAGCAATTAATATGCAAAGAACGTTGAACTTGGAGTCAGAAAATCTTAAATTTTATCCTGTGTAAATCACCTACTAATTATATGAATGTGTCCTCTTTTGAGCCTCAGTTTTATGTTCAATCTAGTACTGTATCCACTACCTAGCAGGACGTTGTATTGATGAGATGAGAATGTATATAAAACCACTTTGTAAACTGTTCAGCATTATGTCAATTTTAGTAAAAAATATGAGCAGAAAAAAAAAACATGAGCAGACATTTTTATGAGGAAAAACTAGTTCCATTTTTAAGTTTTGTTTTTTGTTATTTAGTCCCTCCTATACTGATGACCAAACAACAGTATTAAATTGTTTATTAAATATCTAATAGATATATTATTTTATGTAAATAAGCCCCAATATCAACATGGTACCCAAGAAATCAAATTTCTTAGCCAGAAGAGACTAAGGGTGGGGAGAAGCATTTGTAGGATGGGGTTTGTCTGTGAGACACTCACCAAGTGCCGCAGAGTCGTGCAGTGGTCTTCTCCTGGAACTTGTGGTGGAGAAGGAGTAGTATGGTGTCCCAGGTTTTCCTGAAGAAGACAGCTGTGCTGGGCTACCAAGCCCTAGATCTTGTCTCAGGAGACTAGACTATAAAACAAGGCCAAGGAAACAAGTTATGTTCCCACTGATAATGACCCAAACCTGAAAATTTCAATACTTCTAAATTATTATTTATAGTACCTTCAACAATGTTTTGAATTTAAGAAGCATCCAATAAGTACTTATTTGAGTTCAATTACACCATTTGTTTAAGCATATATTTCTTTCCCCCCCATCCGTGGATGGCCTACTTTCTAATAATTATGTGGATCCATATAATCTTAAGATTGAAAGACACTTTAGTTACTATGTGGCTCTACCCATTCATCATCAAGAATGTTAAAGAAAAAAAAAAGGGGGCCACCCAGTCTTTGCTTGAATGCTTTCATGACCACACATGCGTCAATTTTGTTCCTTTCCTATTCTCTTTCTGGATAGCTCTCATTGTTTGAAGACCACCAGTATTTTCAAGACTAGCTATTCCTTTGGTAGGAATCACCAAAAATTCCCACACTTAAACAGTGATTAGATAAGGTGTCATCTTCAACAGTGTCTCCTGAAGGGTTTGAATATCCTCCTTATGGTCCCTGACACAGATTCTGGATATATTTTCAGTTTATCAAAGTCTCTTGTAAAATGAAATGGAGGACAATATGTCAGATTACTGCAGAGTAGTTTTCAACACCACATTTGTGCTAACTCAAATTGAAAGGTTAAGAGTGATCACACCCTACTACTCTACTGCATATGCTGCAATTAAGTCATGTGCCTAGGTACATACATGCTCCTGACCCTTAAGTCCACGGGACGACACTCTAACCACTAAGGCAAACTGCCATAGCCTGTTTACTGATTTACTCATTTACTTATTTATTTCGTTAATCCTCACATGAGGGTATTTTTCCCATTGCTTTTTGGAGAGTGAAAGGGGTGGGGGAAGACAGAGAAACATTGATGTGGAGACACACATAGACTGGTTGCCTCCCGCATGCACCCCAACTGGGGGCAGGAAGAGAACCGCAACCCAGGTATATGCCCTTGATAGGGAATGGAATCCAAGACACTTAGATGCTCGGGCTGACGCTAACCTCTTAGCCACAGTAGCCAGGGCCTGTCTTCTTTTTAATGTAGGCATTTACAACTATAAATTTCCCTCTGATTACTGCTTTTGCTGCATCTCATATGTTTTATATTGTCTTTTCATCTTCACTTGATAGTTCATTTTTCTTAAAAGCCTATTCAACAATGCTGAAGCACAAACAGCATGGATGGGCATGGACAGCATTATGCTAAGCGAAATAAGCCAGTTAGAGAAAGATAAACATCACATGATCTCACTCATTTGTGTAATATAATGAACAACATAAACTGATGAACAAAAATAGATCCATAGACAGAGAAGCATTGAACAGACCGTCAAACCTCAGAGGGAAAGCAGGGGAAGGGGGGTGGGGTGGGGTGGTAGATAAGAGATCAACCAAAAAACTTGAATGCATGCATATAAGCATAACCAATGGACACAGACACTAGGAAGATGAGGGCATGTGCGAGGGGGTGGGAGTGGCCAGGGAGAGGAAGACATATGTAATACTTTAATCAATAAAGAATAAAAAAAACAACAAAAAACAATGCTGAAGCATACATTAAGTACTCAAAGTACTAAAATAGGTAAAGATCATTCTATCTTTTAGAAATGCTCATAATTAAAATTTTTTTTCCAGACTCCTCAAAAGGTAAATTCTTCTTGGAACAGAGGTGATACCTTCTTGATAAAGGAGAAAAGTGAAAAGAAAATTTCAATCACCAGATAATATGATGTGTACATGAAAAGACTATATAGTATTATTAATGTAATTATTTAGCATTAAGTGCACAAATTCCAACAGATACAAGGTTCAACAGATTAAGAAAGATGTGGCCCTGGCTGGTTGCTCAATTGGTTGGAATGTCCTCCCATACACCATAAGGTTGATGGTTCGATTCCAGGTCAGGGCACATACCTAGGTTGCAGGTTTGATCCCTGGTTAGGGTGTAAATGGGAAGGCAACTGATTGATGTTTCTCTCTTTCTTTCCCTTCCTCCCTCTCTAAAATTAATAAACATATCTCTGGGTGAGGATGAAAAAAAATAAAGAAGAAAGATGTAATTATCAGACATAAAGGAGAAACAGTACCCCTTAAAATAATAATCTAGGAGAAGTGATAAAATTGAGGAAATCAATATAAATGTAAATAGCACATGTATTCTTTCTATTTCTATAGCAACCCTTTAGCAATGGATCTGATTATGTCAAAGTGGTATTGACATTTCATTGTCATGTATGCTTTGTGTTTTTCTTTCTTTTTTGCCCAGACTAGGCACATTCAACATTCCTCAAATAGCAATCAAAATATGGCTCAGTGTGCTGGATGGGACATATTATTACCACATGTTTGAGGCCAGGGGTCATGTACCTTGAAATTTTCCTTTAAATAACAGTCTTTTAGGATGTTCCCTGCTCAGTGCAAAACTGCCTTTCATATAATATTTTCAGGCATCTGCTGTATTTATTACTTCATCTGCTTTTTCTCATATAGAAGGCACGTATGAAACTGGTCACTGTACATATACAAACAAATACATGAGAGGAACTGGGTATTCATATGTCTCTTAACAGTGTTCCTTATAAATTTCCTTGGCATATAAATTGTAATGGGCATATAAGATAATGATTTATACAAAGGGTCAACAATTTGCAGGTCAAATTGGGCCTGTTTCAAAAATATTTTTATTGGAACACAGTCTCACCCATTCATTTATGTATTAGCTATGGTTGTTTCTGTGCTACAATAGATAAACTTTCAGATGAGTAAAATGTAGCCAGTGAGTTATTTCTTCAAAGAAGTCAAATAGTAGTCATAATAAAGACTAACAGAGGCATAAAATAATCTGTCATGAATAGGAAAGCTCATTTCTTATAATCCTAAAAGTAGATGAAATGTTTCCAAAAACTGTATGTCCTGAAATAGCATGAGCTTCATAATTAGCTACCCTGAGTTTGAATCCTGACTGTATGATCCGGGGTAAATTATCTAACATTAATGCATCTGTTTCCTTTTCTATTAATGGATGTATTATCAATTAGTTTACAGGGTTGCTGGGAGAAGTAAATAAGGATTTAAATAAAACTAAGCATGGTTGCAGAACCTAGTGAAAACAAAAAAAAATGATTACCACATTCTACGTATCACAAAAGAATAAAAATAAGATGAATGACATTTTAAATTGTTTCCTGGGCACAAACTCTTTGTCCTAAGGTAGGAGATCTTGAGTGCCTTGAATCAAAGATGTTAGAAGTAGCAAAGAGGACAGACAGACTCCTTGAAAGAGGGTTGACAACTAGAGGCTAAATCCTGAGAGGAGTGTGACAGATTCAAACTGTTTCAATTTAAGTCAAGAATAAATTGACATATGACAACTTATTTCTCAAAATGATTAAGCAAATGTAAGTATTTTTGTATAAACCTACCTTTAGCATCCAAACATATAAACACACATTGAGTGAAAGAAAAGGAATGGTGAATTATACAAGTGTGGTGAAATGTTAATTAATGAATCTTGGTTAATAAGGGCATGGATGCTCAAGACTTCTACAATAGTCCACGAACCTAATTACCATTTATAAGATTGCTAACTTGGAAAAAAATAAGTGACCTGTCCATGAATTTGGTGGATAACAGCCTAAAGCTGAGGTGCCCACAGAATACATATTGGTAGACTTTGCACATATGCATAGGATAAAGG